CGGAAGAAGACCTGTAATGTCCATATCACACTATTTCTCCCGGTAATTTTATGGCGTAACGAGAGATGTGAACAGAGCGAAGGTCAGATGCAAATGAGCCGTTTTTGATTTTTTCCCCATGATGCCCTTCGGACCGTGTCCAACACCGCCTGGCCTGATATAAACACGAGAGGGGTTGGGAGAATTCGAGACAGTTATACAACCCGAAACGATATCAGGCTATGTAAACACAGGAAAAAAGTTTTCTATTGCTTTTGTAAAATAAATTTCCCGAGAAAAAACGCAAAACTCTTTGTATGGCAATGATTAAAAGAGAAATTCTTACCAGGCGCAAAGTCTTGTCCACGAAGTCTTGCACGCGTAATCAGTTCTTGTTTTGCAAAAAGATACTTTCCAAAATACGGACTTTTCTCGCTTAAAATGTCCGCTTAAGCGAAAAAAAATTGACACACTTTCTTTGTAACGATTTTCCAACTTTCAGCGGACGAAGGAATGGGTAAATAAAGTAAACTTGTCGAGTTTTGAACTTGAAACTTTTTCAAATTCGTGCTTGCGTGATTCGCACGCGAAAAGCAAAACATACATACATACATACATACATACATACATAAATATTGGAAGTAGGAAAAAAACTACACTTTCATCCCGACAAGCCTGTTTCGTGATCTATCACTCTTCAGGGGATTTTAATGATAAGAATATTCATAACCATCGACTATATACTTTGAGATTACCGTTGTTGGGGAAAATTTAAATTTAAATGTTTAATTGTTACATAGCAACGCTTTGTTTCTGTGGCGGCGAGAAGATACAAGTTCGTTACGTTTGTTAAGTGATGATAGATTGGGACGACAGATAATTAAAAATTTCTCTTTGAGGCAAAGGTTACACCTTTTACTTGAACTGTTATAGGATGAGCTAGATGAAATGATACGCCATGAAATAGAGTAGTCAATGTTGTTGTCTTTCAGGGACCAGACATGTTTACTTAGTTCCGTAGAGTTCCTGTGTTTTGTGTGACGGAATGATGCAGTGTGGTTTCTGTACCTAGTTTTGAAGGCGTTTTCTGTGAGTCCGATGTATGTTTCAGAAGTGTTATTGTCGTTACGTTTGACGGTTGCTTGGTAGATAACTGATGATTGAAGGCAGTTTCCTTTAAGAGGGCATGAGTTTTTTTGTCGGTAGTTACATGATTTGTTGTCAACAGAGTTATCTGTGGATTTATCTGTGTGTTTGGATTCATTCAGGATACGCTTGTTGTGGTTGTCGATAATTTGTTTAGTGTTATTCATGCAACTGTAACTGATCTTGATGGTATTGCGGTTGAAGATTTTTCTTAGTTTGTTCTCCTTTAATAGGGAAGTGTTTGTCTACTAGTGTAAGGAATCTGTGACCGATGTTGGTGTTGACGTTTTTGCTGAATGGGGGGTTGTACCAGAGGATGCTGTTGCGTTGTCTGTTTCTCCGTTTAGCAGTTGTAGTCGGTTCGTAGTGTAGAGTGTAGTGGTATCCGCTTTCGTCGAGTGCTTTTTGGTACGGGGGGATGGCTTGGTCGAATGATGCTTTGTTCGATGAAAGGGATGATAGCCGTCTGTTGATGCCGGCGGTTATGTGGTGATCGGTGGGTGGTTGCTCTCGCGATGGACTTACTGTAGCGTGGTGTTAGGCTTTGTGAAGGGCCGGTAGGTGCTGTTGTTAAGGTTAAAGGTGACGTCTAGGAAGTTAATGATCTGTTTATTGGCTTCAGTTGTGATGCGTAGTCCATTTTGGTTAAAGACACGGCATATTTCCTTCTTGATGTTTTCTTTGTCTCTCGGTGCGGCATTAGAAATGGCTAGACCGTCGTCTCTGTAGAGCCCTATGTTGACGTCAAGGTGTTTTAATTGTGAAAGCAGGAAACTTCCTACTAGCTCACATGTCTCAGCGCCATCGTAGCTGCCCATTGTAACGTCAAATGTTGTGTCGCCGCTTCTTTTGCCATGCTCGATGCCCGGCTCGATGCTTGTGTATTAGGATTGAGTTCTTGGCATGTATGATGATGTTTCGTTCGTCGTTCGTGATGTTGTCGTAGGCTGAGGCAAAGTCAAGTGCCTTGTTGAGAAGGTCTTGGCTGATGGAGGGGTAGAATTCTACGATATCGAAGCAAATAAAGCTGTGATCTTGTTTGTTTTCAATAGCTTTAAACCACTCGATCACGGAGGTGGAGTTTTTCCATTGGTTGAATTTGGATGCTCTCGTGATTTTGTTGTTGATCCTGTCGAGGGTTACCTTGCTGATTTTGCCTATTTCGGATTTAGTAGGGTTGATTAGTCTGCAGGTCGGGTTGTTAGCGAAGTTCGGTTTGTGGTCCTTCAGTGTTATAAATGCGTCCTTGTTAGCAGTAGTGTCTACTCTGTCATCGATACCCAACTTCGTTGCGATTTTTTTGTTTTCTGTATGGATGTCTCGTACGGTGTTAGGATGGGCCTTTTTGTAGGACTTCGTGATGTTTTGTTCTAGCAGGTCGTTGTACTTTGACGGTTCTAGTTTGTAAAAGTTCGTTGTTTTATCAGCGGCGATGAGTAGCTTGGTTTCCTTTTTAATGTGATCAGTGTCGTTTTTGAGTTTGATGAGAAAAGGGTTGTTAACTTGTATGAATTTCGTCGATTGTACCATCTTAAGCATGTCGTCTTCAAATTCCTTTAGCTCGTCGACTGGAGGAGGGTTCTTGGTAGACTTGAAGCCGTATGTGTCTTTGGAGGAGGTGGATACATCAGGGTTGAGGAAGAAGTACGCTTTCCAGCGCATTCTTCGTAGAAAGTGCTCGGTTTTTTCAATTAGGCGTTGCAAGAAGTCGTTCTGCGATGGGAGAGGAATATTCTTTGTGGAGTATCCAATGTTGAATTTTTCCATTGCGGATTATCGTAGAGTGCTCGACAATTATTAGATTGGAGCGAATTAGGAAGTCTGTCTTTCGATTTTTCCGTAGTAGAGTGCTCGATACGTTAAAGCGTGATATAAATATTGGAAGTAGGAAAAAAACTACACTTTCATCCCGACAAGCCTGTTTCGTGATCTCTCACTCTTCAGGAGATTTTAATGATAAGAATATTCATAACCATCGACTATATACTTTGAGATTACATTGTTGGGGAAAATTTAAATTTAAATGTTTAATTGTTACATAGCAACGCTTTGTTTCTGTGGCGGCAAGAAGATACAAGTTCGCTACGTTTGTTAAGTGATGATAGATTGGGACGACAGATAATTAAAAATTTCTCTTTGAGGCAAAGGTTACACCTTTTACTTGAACTGTTATAGGATGAGCTAGATGAACTGATACGCCATGAAATAGAGTAGTCAATGTTGTTGTCTTTCAGGGACCAGACATGTTTACTTAGTTCCGTAGAGTTCCTGTGTTTTGTGTGACGGAATGATGCAGTGTGGTTTCTGTACCTAGTTTTGAAGGCGTTTTCTGTGAGTCCGATGTATGTTTCAGAAGTGTTATTGTCGTTACGTTTGACGGTTGCTTGGTAGATAACTGATTATTGAAGGCAGCTTCCGTTAAGAGGAAAAATCGAAAGAAAAAAAAAATCGAAAGACAGACTTCCTACACACATACATACATACTTTATTAAGACTCCCTTCAACAGGGCTTTTCAGTCACAATGTTAATTATTACATAATACTGGTAATTAAGAAAAGAAAAGAAAACTTATTTACAGTAGTTCAATGAAATTCAAAATAAATTCAAAATTATTCAAAATATATTCAAAATTATTTCGTATGAAATATCCTATTAAAAAGTCTCCGCTTAAAACTATCAATATCTTTAGTGTTCTTAATATTGTCAGGTAGCCCATTCCATTCCTTTGGACCCCGAAAATAAAATGCCCTTTTTCCCACTGATAGTCTACATCGGGGGACCACAAAATTGTTACATCCCCTTGTGTTCTTGATGTGAACTGCTGAACGTTTAATAAAATATTTACCTAAATAATCTGGAGCTAAGCCATTTACACGTTTGAATACTAAAACTAAGTCATTAAATAGAACCTTCTCCGTAACATCTAACCATTTAGGAGATCTCCGTCCCTGGGAGATATGGTCAAACTTCTTTAAACCTAAAACAACTCTGGCAGCAAAATTTTGTACCAACTGCAGTTTGGGGTAGTACTTGGTGTAAGACTGCCCAAAATGTCCCGAGCCACCGCCCACCACTGTTAGTGCTGTAGTAGCTGTGCTGTAGTAATAGTAATAGCAATAAATTGCTTTATTTGCATGACCGCATCATTTTACAGCATTGCAAAAGCATGCATATGACAATCAAAATAATTAGAACAAACGGCACTAATAATAATCTAGAAAAATTCAGTTACATTATTAACAATGAATCACGTATTTTCATACAGGAGGAAACAAACTTCATAACTAACTTATTTACATGATGTTCCTTCGAATTCATTATCAGTTTTATGCTTTCTGGAGATGATTTCTTGTCAAAGTCAGGTATTATTCGATTGATTTGATTAATAAAGGCCTGTCTCTGTACTGACTATTTGTTACATTGAAAGAGGAAATGAATCTCATCTTCTACCTGATTTGAGTTACATAAGGGGCATAATCTATTTTCTCTTGGCAAATGATCGGTTTGGTATCGACCATGTTCAATCATAAGTTTGTGATTACTTATTTTAAATTTAACAAAATTCTGTCGTTCGTCATAATGTCTTAGCTGGTAGAGATAATCATATGTAGAATATTCATCTTTAAAAGTTTTATAAAATTCTAGTTTTATTGAATTTTCAAGGCTGTGCCGCCAAAAAGATAGATATTTCTCTCTCATTTCTGTGGTATATCGTCTAATTTTATCATTATCTAGAGATTCAGCATCTAAACTGGTTAGATTGTATTGTTCAAACATGTTTATGAAATTGGAAAAATATCCTGAATTATTCATAGAATGTAGATTCTTTGACATAAGGAAAGACTGTTTGACTATAGAGTCATTATCTTTGTTGTTGAGGTAAACAAAATATTTCATAATTTTCTGATTTATAGGGATAAGCAGCGGCAATCTATCAAGTTCAGCTCTGCAAGCTATGTTAGAGGCCTTATTGTTAACCTCTAATTAACGTTTACAGAATTTGAGGTGGATTTTTTCTATTGGGGAGCTATCGCATTTTTTAAAATCTTGCTTGGTGTACATTCCCCATACCTCGCTGTTGTAACTCAAGATTGGGAATACCATGGTGTCAAAAATTTGGGATGCAGTATTAAAAGAATTGTCCGCTTCCGAATACTAGAGAACGCGTGAAGGGCCTTTTCTTTTAAGTGTTCGAGTGCAAGTGTAAAGTTTCCCGTTGGAGTTTAACGTGTACCTAAATAAGTGTATTCTTGGACAATTTCAATTGACTCACTGCCTATGTTGAATTTGATGTCAATAGATTTTTTTGGGCGTTTCTGGAATGTCATAATTTTTGTTTTCTTCGGATTAATTTTTCCATTTGTCACAATACAAGGAAAGCGCATTTAAACAGTTCTGTAATCCAGTTTTCGATCTTGATAGAATAACTAAATCATCTGCCGGCGTAGAAAAGTGAATTTATTTTTTTCCCGTTTGGAAGAACAAATGGGTCAGATAAGGTGTTTTCGAATAAATGTGGTATATTGTTTAAATAGAGGTTAAATAAAAGAGGGCTTAAAATACAGCCTTGACGTACAACTCTGGAATATGAAAAAGGCTGTGTTTTGTTTTCACCGATTTTGATGGAACATGTCGAGTTGAATAAAGACTTTTCATGAGGTTGTACAAGTTTCTTCCTATATGCATTTTTAGCAGCTTATAAAACAATCCTTCGTGCCAAACAGAGTCAAACGCTTTGCGGAAATCTACGAAACAAGCGTAGAGTTTTTCCTTGTGATATGATAATGCACATATTTATCTATTAGGGTGCGTAGAGTGAAAACATGGTCTGCAGTGCGGTTTTCAGGCAAAAAGCCAATTTAGGAATTATGTAATATCTTATTTTCCTCAGAATACAAGTGAAGTCTTCGATTTAAAATAGAACAGAACAGTTTTCCAAGGCAACTAGAAACACAGATGCCTCTGTAATTTGTTGGATCACTCTTGTCACCAGATTTGTAGATTGGGGTTATGAGGCCTTGACACCAAACATCTGGCATTTTTCCGGATTGTAAAATGAGGTTAAAAAGTTTGACATAGACAGCCATTAGTGGTTCGAGGCTTGCTTTGATCATTTCATTTCGTATTTTGTCAACAAATGGTGATTTCTTATTTTTCAATTTCTTCGCCGCTTGACGTATTTCCCTCTCAGTTATCTCATAATCGAAATGGGTAAACTGTTCCTTTTCGTGTTCTAAAGAATTTAATTCCCTATGGATTTCATGTTCATGCGTGGAATTCGTCGGGTCAATAGAATGCAGAGATTTGAAGTGGTGAAGCCATGATTCTTCCGAGATTGGGGCAGGAACATTTTCGTTGAAAGTGTCACTCATCGAATTTAAACAATTCCAAAATGACGTCTTGTCAGGATTTAAAGCTAGTTCGTCGAGTTGTAATGTTTTTTCTTTGTGAAATCCTCTTTTCTTTGTGTCTAGGAGCTTTTTGTAATCATTCAAGGTTTTGTGATATCGTTCCCTCAATTCGAAGTTGAGGGGGTCACGGTGCTTTTCATTTGAGACTTTTCGTAATTCATGCCTTTTCAAGCGACATTCACAGTCGAACCATTTCTTGTTGGATGATTTCTTAATACGCTTATAAGTTTCCTTAGCTTTAATTTTTAGGCATAGCTTGGAGGTTTCAGTTAGGATTTTCATAGCGTTTTCTAAGGAGATATTCACATCTTCGGTGTTTCTCTCCATATATTGTCTAATTAGAATTTGGATTGTTTCCGTGCGCAGTGCGTTTTTGAATTTTAAATGTGAGTCAACTTCCCAGCAAAATTGCCGTGGTAATTTTGATAATCTATTGCTACTATTTGGAGTGTGTGTTTCGTCTCCAATTAGCCTGGTGTTAAGAGTGATCCATGCCACGATGGCACTATGATCCGATTAATAACATGGCTGTTTAACAACAAAATTTGCAACGTTGAGAAATGTGCACTGATCACATATTAGATAATCAATAACGCTCGTCCCGTTTTTTCCATGAAAAGTGGGTCTGCCTAGGGTATCTCCATTAACTGTGCCATTAATTCTTAGGTCAAGGGTTTTACAAATTTCCAACAGCCGTTTCCCATGGCTATTTAAAACATTATCAAAACTATTTCTTTGAGTTGGCTGGAAAGCTGATTCCGACTGATCATTACTAATTATACTGTTTCCCTCCTTTGAGACAGTATCAGAGTAGACTACGAGTAGTCCCCATTTTTCCTCAGGGATAGTAGAGCGAGCAAAACGAGAGCGCGCGTGAAAATCACCCCACGCGAGAGAGGCGAGACGCGGCGGTGTTTCTCTCTTCCCACCGCGTCTCGCCTTTCTCGCGCGAGGTGTTTTTCACGCGCGCTCGCGTTTCGCTTGCTCTACTATCCCTGAGGAAAAATGGGGACTACTTGTAGTCTAGTCCCCAAAGGCCGTGTTCGGCCAGATAAATTCAGTTCATTTCAAAAAATCGACCTTTTACTTCGGCGGAGCTCGAAGTAAAGGATTCGCGCGGCTCAGGAATATTTCAAAGTTAATTCGGAGGGTAGTTTGAGATATCTTCGAATTCATTGAATGTATTGATTTGTATTCTTCTTCTTATCATGGGCTCCTGTTCTTATTTATTATTCTGGCTAGAAATATTGACTGCAAAAGTATTTTACAGAAAACATTAAAGCAATTTGGGCTATTAGCTTCAAAATACGAGTGAAAATCGAGATAAAAGAGCAATTAACAGTGCGTCTCACTTCGCAGATGAGTTTGCTCATGTCGCGCGATATGTTTCTCGGCTAAACTTCCGAATAACTCAGTGTTTCTCCAAAGTGCGTTTCAGTTTGGCTTTTTACCGTCGAAACCTTGACTTTTCCCCTGAAATCTAGCTTGGAATTCTTTTTACACGGTGGAAAACCCAAATTTATTAGTTTGCTGGTTGAATTCCCTGCCAATATAGATCAAAGTTTCAGCAGGACATTGACACAAAATGACAACAGCGCGAGTGCTGAAAGCAGTGAAACATGCAGATGAAAGAGACTGATGAGTATGACAGTGATGCCATTGACTCCAAATGGAGGCATTGTTACAATAAAGGTTTTCATAACTACAACAAATTATGGGAGCAGAAACAACAAAATTATACGTCATATACCATTTCGATAATAATTATACTATAATTTAATTAACTAATCAATGAGATTTTTGACTCAGGATCTGTTTTCGTTTTTGAAACATTAGATGGGCATATTTGGCTATAACTTGTGAACTATTGTCATTGTCTAATCTGAGTAAATATAACGTTCTTCCATGATCTGTTAAATTGATCAAGTTTGCATCAATTGAGTGAGTGATCGAGTGAGTGAGTGAGTGATCAGTCTAGTGCCTCCAAAAGCCCATGGAATGACTACGTCATCCATGAGCTAAAAATGAAACTTCTCTACCCCCCACGGTAAATAACTAGAGAGCCAACCTTAGTACTATCATACTACTTAGTATTATCACTACTAGAAAATGTTGTTCTGATCTTCTACACTGGTGGAGTAATCATCGTTGAAAAAAATCAAAGTAAATAACAGATTTTACATTCGAATTTTTTTGCTCTAACTTCATCAGCGATAAAAGCAGATAAGTTAAGGTTACGTAACTGAGGGCTTCGTTCTTACCTGGAAAGCCCGGATATAAATGATCGAGAAGTCCACTGTACCTTGTCCCTATCCAGGGAAAGTTTTCTCTGTTTAATAACAAACTGACAATGCCCTTCTTAATGCGACGACAGCTGGTGTGTTCTTCAGTGATAAGAACCATTGTTAAGAGCTGGAGCGCTATAGTCCTTTAATAGAGCCAATAGAAAAGACTCTTGAAAGAACCGAAAAGGTACCTGTTGAGATTAAAGAAAGAAAACGGTATTACCGGAATCAGTTACCACTGCTTTGCTATATTTTATAATGTAATGACTCCCAAAAACATTCTGAAAGTCTGATTATGTGTTCTATTTTAGCATGTGGCTTACAGTGTTATGAGTGTTTTAGCCAGAAAAGTTGGGATGACTGTGAAAGCCGCAAAGACGTGAAGAACTGCACCTCTTGGAGCAACCGATGTTTTAAGGGCTACGCAGATTGGCAAGAGGACGGATCATCAAAGAAGGCTTATAGCAAACAATGTTCCTCAACAGAGAAGTGCAAAACTGCCACAGACAGCAAGGAATGTAAGGGAGGAACCTGTAAGGTGGATTGCTGCTCTGGAGATCTTTGCAATGCTGGCACAATACCACTGGGCAATGCTGCCACAGTACCACTGGTCAGTGCCATCATCCTCAGCGCATGCGCTGTTCTGGCCACTTCACTTAAAGCCCAGATCATTTTTAAGTAATAAAGTGTTGCAATATTTTCCGCGGTAAAAGGATAATTAAAGTGTGCCTGATTCGATGTTGTGTTTAGTTTGAATTAAGCTATTTATCAAAGGCCTCCTGTCAAAGGAGATTGTAAATCATTTAGCGTTTGTTTCTATCTATATGATCAAGTGGAACGTCGTTTTTAGGTTTTGATCAATGCAAGATCGCTTTCTTGGTTTTTATGAAAGATTGCAAATTCTTTTTAAGAATTACCTCAAATCTGTAAGTCATTCAGGGTAATAAATGTTTTTATTAACAATTTAAATCGTTGTTATGTTAAAAACAAACAAGGAAAAATAATTGGTTTAGTTATTATTCTTTTTATTTTTATTTCTTTTAAAAACTGTTTATCGTGCTAGACCATGCGACTCCAGCTTTAGTCTTGAAATCTTGATTATGGGTGCTTTCCATTAGGATAATCCGGATCAGGATCAGTGATCTAAGGGCGCTTTCCATTTGTGTTTCCGTTAGTCAGTTTGAAAATGAAATAGGCTTTTTCCAAGAGTTTTTGCTAAACACCATCTCCTTCGTGCATACTATTAAGGATTCTACTGATCTGGCTGGAGAGATTAATTAAAAGGGAAATTGTCATTGCGACGGGAATAGTGGGAATGGTCTGGCCGATCAGTTTGGACAAATGGAAAGAGCTCTAAGATCACTCGGATCATTAAACACAGAACCCGAAGAATCCACCCTGGGAAAGGACTCATCAGTTCATTTGATGTACTCGGATCCGAAATTAAAGGAACGCATCTTGCTTTGCTGGCGTATTTCTCTGCCGAGCTCTCAGAATTTCCGCTTTTCGACCCTGGGCCATCGTAGCTTAATCAGAAATGGAACGCCAACAGTGGTGATAAACATTAACGCATTTTTATACAAACTTAACGTTCTGTATCCTTGACAACATGCGGCTCGCTTGAAACAAAAGTACGTAAACGTGGTTAGGGGAACATACCGTTTACTTCGTCCTCTGGGCTCAGCAGGGTGGAGCATAATGTACACATTTTGTAGGAATATGCTGGCCCCAAGAAATGAGACTTGTTGCTTTCCGAAGAAAAAATAGCAATTGCCTGGACGGATCGGTACGCGTGGAATTGATTGAACAATAAAAAAGTCTTCTTTTACAGCGCCCCTTATCCGAGCACTATTACTCCGGTGGCAGCAGACAGTATATCGATCAAAGACGCTATCAAAATTGTCTAAAAGATTCGTTTAGGTGAAATATCTTAAGTACGGATAATCATCACATGTATCACCTCGCTGGAATGTGGACAGCCCGGATGAGCCCACTAGGGGTATCCAGGAACTGATTAATCGGTTCCTGATAGTAGCTATAAGCTCTGTCGACGCCCTGCTATGCTCTTAAAATTTCGACCGGCTTTTGTAAACATCGTATCCGTCCCCACTTGGTAACGATTCGGATTGCTGGCTCAGATATACCGAGTGTATAAAACACATTACTTATTACCCAGGGACAGTTCCTAAAAGTGATGGGATCAGATTTACAAGATGTTCAGACCCTAAGCCAATCATTTATGAGATCAAATACATACGTAAGGAAGATGTACTACTCACCGTTCAATTACACAACTGCCATTGAACTGTTCAGATATGATAGCTTATGATGGGCATGATCTGAAAGTTACGTTTAATTTCTACTTAGTTGTCAGTAAGATCCTAAATTATTTCCAAAATAGGTTTACTGGAAGAGTTCTATCAGTCTCTCTTTTAATTTCGCTTTACTCTACGGACGAAAGGAAAGCCTGATCTTAGATTTCTCTGCAATATACGGTGTGGTTTAATAAATGTCACTTTTGAAGATGACAGACTGGGAACTTCTAGAGTAGAATAATGGAACTTATGGCTGGTTACTTAAAAATGAAACTCACCTAAAATTTCGAGGAAAAAAAAAACGGGGCGAAGCCGTGAGGAAATCGGGAATAGTCAGACCCTGCAGGGTCTGTCATTTGCCAAGTCCCCACCCATGCCGCGAAGTTTCAAAAGTAACGACCCTCCATGGCCGAAAGTAGCGATGCAATTTATTTCATAGTGATAACAAAGAAATATTCCCTTTCTTTTAACTATTGATGGAAATGAGAAAAAAAGGTGTTCCTACCGTCTCTCAATACCTGTTACGTACGTAAGAGGGATGATAAAACTGGTCTTTCATTTTCCCTTTGAACGAACTGTTCGCATTTTATGCACCTATCAATGTAAAGCCGGCGGGGGGGCAGGGCATGGGGTGGGGATTTGATTGTCTTTGTTGGCCCTGGGGTAGGGCATTTGACTGATCTTGTTCTCCCAGGGGAGGGGATATTTGAATCTTTCTTCGCCCGACGTCGAGATATTTGACTTCCGACTCGGACTAAAAAGACTGAGACCGAACATATGTTTCCCGCTTTCACGCTTCACGCATGCGCCGTACGGTTTGAAAAGATCAGGAAATCATGGAGGCCAATGAGAACAAGCGAAGGCTGAGTGGATTTCACTGTTTTGTCTTCAAATTTCGTTTGTTTTAGCGTGTTAGTGATCAATTGAACCTCTTAAAATACTGTGGTATCAAAGTAAACGGAAGTAAAGAGAAACCAAGTCGATTTTTGCAAGTACAATTGATTAGTGTATGGCTTATTCGCTACATTCACTGTAAACTTATAAAACTGACTTTCTTTGTACCTTTTACTAAGAACGGTATATTTAAACTTACAAAATGTGGACTTTCTCCTAAAGGTTTATGTATTCTACGCAGTGTAACACGGATTATGGTTAAAACGTATAATTGCAGCTGTAACAGGAACATGTATCTTTGGTGATGCAGCAACGTTTATAAAAGATTGCGGAGTGTAGAGATATTTTTATTGTGCCTTTCTTAGGTTCTGCCTTTGGATTGACAGCAATGTGCAGCCCGGGGTGGCGAAATTTGGTTGCATTTGACTGGAATGATTTGCCCGTGGGCAGGGAATTTGATTGACAATTTTTGAAAAAAGTCAAATCCCCACCCTATGGCCTGCCTCCCTCCCCCGCCGGCATTACATTGATAGGTGCATTAAATTCGCGCGAAAGCAGCGATCTTTCCGAAAGTTGACCGATAACCTTCCTGAGTATATCAAATTACATTCACAAGGCTCTGATCGGTGGAAAATAATGACTGATATTTTATCGGCCACTTGGATTGGTTAACTACTGTGATATAATAAGGGAAAGGCACTAAGGCACTTTTCTACAAAATACATAAGTATGCTTTTCTTTCCCAATGAACATTTTGCTCGGGTCAGTTGCGCCTAACAGTTAAGTTCGTCGAAGATGAAAAGGGAACTTTCTCTTCTGGACTTCTTCTTTGCGTCTCCTTTGGTAAGTTTCATTGGTTCTTTCTAGTTTAGTAAGTCATTCGCCTATGCCATCTAGTTTTGCTGAACCAGTTCTGCTTCGCCAAGACAGCTATTTCCGCTTGCCAGCAATACAGTGAGTAGGCTTGTAAGGGGGTGTTTACATGAGAAAACTCGCACCGGCGCGAGTTTCATACCGGGATGACTTTTTGATTTCGTATCGTGCTTACATGATAACTGGGTCATTTCATATCTCGTTGTTTGAAGGTACACTTCATGTTGATAAAATAAACGGGCGATTCAAAATCGCAAACATTACGCATGCGGTACCCGTTTCAGTCTAACGGCAGACCGATTTAACACCGAAACGTGTAGTCGTTTTGCGTTTACATGATACCGTTGCGAGATTTCGTACCGGAGTGAAATTCTCGCCCCGTACAACAACCGGGGTGAATTCACGCCGGGGTGACTCGCGCCGGCATGACATTTTGTGGTGGCATCATGTAAACAAATGTTAAGAGCCATGAGAGGGAACCGGAGTGAACTCGATCCGGTGCGAAAGTCGGCCCGGTGTCATGTAAACAGCCCCTTAGTGACCGAAACTTAAAGGGCCGGTTTAAAAGCGTACATCTTCGGCAATTGCCTCCTGTTGACATTAATACTTGTCAATCTACGATCCTATGACGCAAAATTAATTGATGCTGAAAGCTACATGTGAACAGGGAGGCAATAAAGGACGGATTAATTGAAATCAGTTGCATTAAATTACTCAAGTGGTCCACTTAGGGAATTCACTTAAGTGGTTGCACTTACGATTTTTGTAAGCGTTCCCTTAAGTGTCGTTTATGCAACAGAAATTGCGGGTGTTGCATAAAACCTTTTTTACGGGAAAAATAGCAGGTAAATTTACGGGACCTGTGTAGGTTCCGTATCATTACTGTTTTTACTAAACTTAACGAAATCTTTTACTGGGAATTGAAAAAAAGTATTTTTCTTCACGTTATTCGTTCTAATGCGCTTTGTTAACCTCTGATGTACACTTTAAAGCCGACGTTGTGAAAAAAGAAGAAGAACTATCATTTTCAGTAGATATTGAACGTCTCCATGCAAATTTCATTTTTTTGAGAGGCTTAAAAGTGTTCGAAACAACTTAAAACTTTCTTTACACTCACCGATGGTTAGCTTAAACAAAAAAAGAGTGAGTCATTAATTAAGTACTGTATCAAAGTTACGTGTGCCTTTAAGTGAGCACGTAAGTTACCACGTAAAACAGTAACTTCCGAGAGTGCTAAGTGCGTTCCATGCAACACCCGTATGTGTACCCATAACGGATTTGTAAGTGACCTACTTAAGTGGGCACTTAAGTGTAGGTTTTATGCAACCGGGCCCTGAGCAACAATAGGTTCATTTTAAAAAATAGTTTTCCTGCCCAGGAATAATATTCAGCGTTTGGTTTGTCATTGTTATTAGCTGCATGAAATTGAATCCCGGGGGTCTGACTCCCTATAAAGACCTATACAGAGAGACTAAGCCCGATATGAAAGCTGAGTGAAATCTGTCTTTCCGGTCTGTAAAAAGGCCCAAAAGCCCTAGAAGATGCATTTTATATCTGTGAAAAGGCCGAGAAAACGGTTTGATTTTGTGATTTATTCATATTTTAAAACAGTGCGTTAAAAGCAGTTGAAAGGAATGCAAAGTTCTAATTTATGGAATTCATCACCCTCCGAAGACAATGTACAATGAAACGGAGTTAATTCATCACCAAACGGATATCATGGATGATTTTTTGAAAGCACATCCCAATGGTTTGGTCGTGTACGGAGGTGATCTAATCGTTATTTTACTTCAATATCTACTGGAAATGTTTGTTGTTCTTCTTTTTTCACAACGACATTTAAGTGAACACTTACGAAAATCGTAAGTGCAGCCACTTAAGTGAATTCCCTAAGTGGAGCACTTAAGTGATTTACTGCAACTCATTTAAGTTACGAGTGCACGTAAGTATACCCATAATTGTTACGGGTTTTTCATGCAACCGGGCTCTTTGGCGGAAAAGTAAATTACTGCCGAACGTTGTGTGAAGAGGAGACAATAAAGAGCAGATTGGTTGAAGCACGGCAATAGTATGTTCATCTTAAAAATTGTTTTGCTGTTCGGCAATAATGTGACTGTTTGGTTTAATTTTCGCTATTGTTAGTAGGAAAATAACAGCCAACAGTTAATGTTTTAAGCCTTAGATCTTTCATAGATCTCTCTTAGATAAAAGTATCAATATGGACAATACTTTTGAGGTCCTAATCATTAAAACGTTTGCCGTGATGGACTAAAGTGACTCGCTGGCATTTATCGACGTTTTATTATATGCTACTTTGTAGCGTGTGGCTTGAAGAGTAATCTCTGTGTAGGCGACCGCTGTTATTAATTTGCAGTTGGGAAGACTGTGCAAACCGCATGAAAGCTGAGTCCTGCAGTAGCTCCAAGTAGAACTGCTGTGCTAAGTTGTATGGAGAGAAAGGATCCGCAGAGAAGTATTACATCAAAGGCTGTTTATCTACAAAGGGTTGTCACTCTTTTGAACTAAATTCTAAATGTGATTTTGAAATTGCAAACTGTACTGCTGTAAAGGTGATCTGTGTAATGGTGCCGCACCGCAATACCAATGGTCAGCGCCATGCCATGCCGTGATGATCATCCTGATCATGACCGTATGCAATTTTCTTGCCGCTTCAGTTTGAGGCGTGATTACAGTAATCAAGAGTTTAAATTTCCATGACAATAGTACTCGTTTCGCAACGGGATAGTAAGAGAGACTCTTTTGTTGGGTAAGGTTTCGATTCATAGGCTGTTCTCTTTTTTATGAAACGTGGCTGAATGGACCTGCAGTCCTGAATCCAGAAGTTTGTTGTCAGGTTTTGATTACATATCACAGCCTCCACCTTTTTTTAACCATTGAAAAAAGCGGCGACTCTGTAACCTGATCAGCAGTAATAAATGTTTTGATTTGTTGCTGTTCATAAACTAAGCTGAACAAAGACAATAAACTTGTTGAGTGAAAAATGGAGGAAACTCTTACCATACGTCAATTCTAAAACTAGTTAAAAGTTTGTTTTTAATATTTCCAGCACATAATTTCCTCATATAATTTTGGCATTTTTTAAATTAAATTCTTAGTCCTTTAATGTTTTAAAATTGGGTCTCCACAGCAGTAGGCTGGGAGTAACTTTCAAGTGTAATACAACGAGTTTTATTTCCGCTTACACGCTCCGGCAGAAACTTCAGCCTCAGTCCTTCAGTGCTACAAAATTGAAGGATGGAAAAATGCATGGTGCGTTTTGGTCCTCGAGTTGCTCCACCCCTGATTTTGAGGGGGAATTGCGGTTACTTTTCTTTTTTATTCCGTCCAAATTTGTGGTTACGAAGAAATTAGTTAGATGAGTTAGAGAGAAGCTCTTCAAAGAGTAGCAAGGGTAAAAAAAATGTAGTAACCTTTCAATGAATGAAATTTTGGTTATGACGTCACCGTACATATGCATAAAGGCCGATGTGAAATGTCACATTTAATTTCATGCCTGCCGCATTATAGTCTGCTACACAGCCGTTTTTAGTGTCGTCACGCAACGCTCCTCCCCACTAACGGCTGCTGAAAACCGAACTACATTCCTTTCCCGTGATTAGCCAGTTATAATTCAGTTCCCATTTTCTGGAAGGTGTTCGCGCGACGTTTGCGGTACTGTGACTCCTCCAATCACAGCTTTGCTTTTATCGGTGCCCCATGTGTGAATGACAGAATAATCAAAACGTCGCGTGAAAACAAGCAATTAACTAGAGTAGTGTTGCCGTAGTCGAGTCCTATTTAAAATTTAGGAGATAAGCACCAGCAGCAAGCAAGTCGAGCAAATTGCGGTGCACAACATGGATGTGCTCATAAAGTTGCCAGGTATAGTTCGGGAAATCGCTCATCGATAATTTAATAGATTGCTTTTTGAATCAGTACCCTTGAGAGTTTAGTATTCACAGGAACACAATAAGCACATCCGGCACATTTAAATTCTTCATCACATATCAGTACATATGCACTTAAATGAAGAACCAACCGATCCTGGTAAAAGTCTTCTAGGCCTATCAAACCTTTCTTTCACTTGGAACTTTCTTGACCGCTTAAAACAAACTTTTTTGCAAATTAACCTTTTCGTTGCTTGAAAACACAGAGCCCGTCTAAATTCAGCGACGATTGATTGATTTGTCGAAAACTGAGAAGCGTGCTCGCTTCCTAGCGCCCCGCGGCTCACATATTGTCAAACTTCTTGTGCATGATTGGCTTGTTCGTTAGACCACAAACACAAAGGGAAAGGAATGTAGTTCGGTTTTCAGCAGCCGTTTGTGGGGAGGAACATTGCGTGACGACACTAAAAACGGCTGTGTAGCAGACTAGCCGCATTATTGCCGAACGAAAATTACGGCATCCCCTTTTTTAAGGGAAATTGCATGTCCAACGGCGCCCTTCAATAAACTGAGGGGAAAAAAAGCAAAGAGTTTTTAATATCAGTAGGAGAAAGAAACCTTAAGAAACGCAAAGAAGATCATCACAAATAAGTTGCGAAAGAAAGCTTGAAAAAAATTCAGGCTTGTCGGGGATAGAACCTCGACCTCACCGATACCGGTACAAACTTCAGATTTTTGTTTCGCAACTGCATAAGTTGCGTATTTCATCCTACAGTTTAATCATCATTTTAGAAAGAAACCTAATCACGACTACCGTATCATTTGCTGGCTTCAAATCGTACCAGTCATTAAAATCTTTATTTTCGAGCAGTCCTACGACCAGACCCGTTTTTCTCACGAATTGTGCGAAAATAGAACAATGATATATGCTGCACTAAAAGGTAATAAAAGGCTGTCTATGAAAATTTTTAATACTTAATTTAAAACCATTCTTGACATTTGGCGAATGCTCCGACATTAGGGAACTTAAGCAACAGCGTTTTTGAGCGACGGACGTCAACCGGAAGTGGACTTTTTACATCATTGGGCAGTGGTTTGGTTGAAACTCTCGGGTAAATCGTCTTTAAAAGAGAAAATAAACTCAGCAATACAAGTTTGTTAGCGTCAAGGCAGATAAAAAGGGAGAAGGCCTCACTTCCGGTTGACGTGCGTCGCTCAAAAACGTCTTTGCTTAAGGTCCCTATTATCTCTAGCGAAAACCGGCCTTAATACTTAAACTGCAGGTTAGTTCCTCTCCTCCTATATTGATCAAGATATGCTAATTTTATCTTTAGCGTAGTGTGATCGGCAGGAACGAAAAACCTTTTAAGGTAAGAAAAGCGCACCACTTAGAAAGGTCTTTGTCTATATTCTGTAACCATCTATAAGTAGCTTATAAGAAGGCAGTACATGTTAAACGTATAAAAGGTCTAAAGTCTAATTGGAACTTTCGTTGAGTTGAGAAATTCACTGTCGAAGGGCATCATACATCAGCCCTTCCATTATATTACATTGGTAGAACTGAAAGGATCTGGGGTTTTCAGAGTCTGATTTCAAACCTAGATTAAACATTGATGATTTCCGAGCAAGTTTTAAGTCGTTGGGAAATATACTGCCGGTTCAAGAGCCATAATGGGCTCTTATGCCATTATGGCTCTTGACCAGTTCTAAAAGACTGATTAAACATCTTTGTTATTCAAAGACGAAAGACAATATGACCGAACAGGCGACTGACTTTGATTAAGTTTTGCTGATATTTTGTCGATACCAGTAGCAAATATCACCCTGAGAGGGCGAAAATGAAGTACTAACTATAAGATTCACTATTAAGCACTGCCACACTAAATGCTTTCTACGTATAGAGTGTGAGTTGTTTATCTCCTGAAAAGTTTTCAAACGAAATTGAGAATGTTTCATTGTATAAACACTTGTCTGATTTCATTTATCGCCGAGTAGGTAGATCCAAGGCCGCCAAAAATTCCTACAGTCATGATTTCACATAGGAAAGCTTTGACGTGGAGTGGAACGTTGGGTGCGATTCTTAAGTAAAACAGACAAGGAAACACAAATGTTAAGGCTGTCACTGTGGAGCCTCCAATGAGAGATAAGATGGGACCAAACTTGGGAATCAGTTCGCCAATACCGAGGATGAAACACAAGAGAACTGTACGAAGGATGCATCGCTGGAAGCAGAACTCTGTTGGAGTGAAAAAAAGAGAGAGAGAAAATAGTTTAGGTTAGCGAGTTTACCTCTCTGGAAGCTTGGTTAAAAATAGAGAGCTACCGCAAGACCTGATTATTAACCGAGAGCGAGGTCATTACGGGGAAATCTCAAATGTATGCCTTGATGTATTGACCGAGCGAAAGCGAGGTCAATATATCAAGGCCGAGGTCTGAGATTTCCCTGTAATGAACGAACGGACGAGGTTAATAAGTTATTTATTATGTGGCCTTTTCATTATGGACCTGAGCCTGCGATCAATTAAAACCAATAACTGGTCAGCGGATATTTTTTAAAAACAGGTCACCTCAATGAGTTGTACACTTGAGCCCCCCTATGCAGTCTGTGACACTGTTCAGCAGATACCCTTTTTGACAGCTGTCAGTTGACCATATCATGGATGTCCGTAAGGATGTCCACTATCAAGTTAAACACAGATTGTATAATGCCTTGGACACTTAGCTAGTAATGCCATAATCAAAAGGCCACATTACTAATGCTAGTAATGTAACTACCTGCTCGGTAAATTAGACAAGCTAGCCCGCGAATTTCCCGTTGATCACCAAAGTATGTGAATACAAAACCCATAAGGTTGAACAAATCAAGAACAAGATCTAGAAAACCAATAAAAGCTTGACAACCCAAGAGGCTCTACCTTAAACCCAAACAGGAACTCCGATGTGGGTAACAATCAAGGTCAGCTATAATCGCAAACAAACCCACTTCAAGAGATGACAATCGAACTTAAACCACAAGATAAATGACACTTATGTCGAAAAAAAACATTTTAGAAAAGGTAATAACACTTAAAAACCTGTTGAGACAAAGACGGATTAACCTTGATCTTCAAACCTAAACATAACGAAACCCTAATCACGAGCGAAAGGGTCTTGGACTTGGAAGTAGTGGGCGAAAGAGAGAACGGGCGCGCGCGAGGGAGACACGCGAGGGGTGAGGGAGCGCCTGCGTGTCTCCTTCTCGCGCGCCCGTTTTTTCTCGTGCCCACTACTTCCAAACACCTGCTACGCAGGCTAGCGGTTAAGTAGTAGGACAAATAATTGTGCTATCCATTTGAGATAGATTTAGCCAGTGGATAGGGTTATCCACCTTTTAAACAACTGGGGCCTGGTATGCAAAGGAGGGGCGGGGATTCGAGAATAGTGGTTATGTTTGAGGTGGGGAATTTGAGCCTATTTATGAGCCTAGAATAATACGAGAATAACCCATAAAAAATCAGGGCAGGGATGGAGCATTTGGAGGATGCCTTCTTCCCTGTTAAATAAAAAACAAGGTAAATATTCTGTTGAATATTTATTGAATTTCTCCGTCACGGGAATAAGAGGATTTGAGGGCCTATAGAGAAGAGAAGTGTGACGTCACATTACCATGGTACCAAAATTTCTGGATCGCAACAACGACGATGGCGACGGCAACGAGAATGGCGAAAAAGCAATCGGTTTAGATTATTAAAACAATAATTTTGCACGTGCATCACGCTTTTTTGTACATTTCTTAGCCATCGTTGCACGACTGCGACATGAAACTTCTAATTTCACGCGCTCGCTTTATGGAGTAGATAAACACGACACAAAATTTTCTTTTTCTTTTTCTGAACTTAGATACGACCCTTTTCGATTCAACCTCAGAAAATTTCGCCAGCATTTCACAAATTAAATGAAATTGAATCAGATCGAAGAATTTTGAAACAGTGTGAATTCACTTTTGGCCAATTCTTTATTTTCTCTGCGAGACATCAACTTGACACTTGGACTCTTGCCCCCCCTCTCCCCTCTAAAAAAAAAAAAGACAAGTGGCATGGCGTGATTCTGTGGGTGTTGAAAGTTCTAGGTTAGGGCTTAAATCAGAGTGCGCGGATATTTTTCATCAGAGCTTTCTCTGGTTGTTACGCCATACTGACGAGCCCCAAAGAGGGCGAAACAGCTGTCTATGGCTACAACCCCGCTCTGTTTTGAGTTCTGTCGGTGTCCTGTTGATGTCTTGCAGAGTTAATGTTCACGTAATACGATCAGCATTGCAGCATTCTGCTTGCAGAATCTAATATGTCTACTCTTCATTTTTGCTGATCAGGTCTTTATAGATCCTACGTTCTTCGGCATATTCGTTTGCAATCCTTTGTGATTAATGTTTGTACTTTTAAGTGACGTTTTTGGTTTGTTGTCATCCAGAAATTTTATTACCCTGGCAACGTGACGTAACGACTTGTCTTCTCTATTCTCTTCATAAATTGGGGTATTTCAACATTATTTGGCCCGCCACTCAAAAGATCAAATACCCTGTGGGTTGCCCAAAGGGGAAGAGGGGAAAAAGTTGAAGTTTTGAATTGACTAGTTCATAAGACAATGTGAAAGTACTAGTAGTACGTATTTACTCTAATAAGCGCCTCCCATGAAGAACCGCCTTTGCCCTTATGTTACTTTAACACATTTGCCCACGGAAATTTAGCCGAAAAACACATTTTAAGGCTAGTCGAGCGGTTTTCTGGTCACTGACGTGCACTTTGCGGCCTTCTGATCCAGATGCAAAATATTAACTTCAATCTCGTCCCCAGACCGACACTTGACTTTTACTTTTCGCTTTCTCTCCTCCCCTATTTTTTCTCTTTTCTTGCCTCATTTTTCTTTCTTTTGCTGGGCATTTAGTAGCCTTCATTTTGGTGGGAAAAGTTTTTAGGAAGGCTTTTAGGATCTGAATAGATGAAAGGAAAGGTGGGTGGGTAGTGGAACAAGATTTTCATGGAAATTTTCAGGTCAATGTTTCATGGTTTTTTGCCTTTTTCTCCATTTTTCTTGACTGAATTGTGCTCATTCCGGTATTGGTTGAAAGATCTGTTCACTCTGCACAATTTTGCTACAAAGGTGTCCTCGACCATTAAAAATGATGACGTCACAAGCGATAGAAAAGGCATGGATCCGTACGGGCGGTTGTGGGCGGCTCGTGGGCGAATGGGTTAATACGGAAAATAATAATTCCGAGGTTAATACAATTATTGGTCTTGTCCAACTTTCGAATAAACGCCGCCCTCAAATAAGCGCTGCACTTGAAGCGTGAAATTTAATAAGCGCCGCAGCGCTTATTCTAGTAAATACGGTGTTTTATAACTCTACTCACTTCTTGGTACATTGCAGAGCTCTTCCAGCTGTTGTGATACAGGATTAAGTGTAATAACGCAGCTAACAAGTAACTGAAGTGATACTAATACCAGTACAACCTGCAATATGGTCGCTACATTGTTGTTTTCATCACGCCCCACGCTGTCAAGAATATTAGGAGTTATGTCCCTGCCATACGTAACAAATCCAAGCACTGACACTGGTAAATACATGGCCAAGACGCTGATGTATGCCCAGAAGACGGACAGTGGAAACCTGGACGCTTTCTTCATGTCCGTTTGAATTGTTGGAAAAATCGAAACACCACCGAACGAGAATAGGATCTTGCCAAACGCTGTAAAATAACATACAAATATTTCAAATATAACACAACAGGATTAAAAATCCCACCTGGCAGGAGGCAACCAGTTAGCTGTTTAAAAGCTTGGTCGAGGATTTAATCAGTGAAAACCTAGAACAAATCCAGCAAGTGGCCAGGAACGGGACTCGAACCCGGGACCGCGGATTGCGAGTCCGACACATGAAAGGCGTTACTTAGACTAAAGCCAGCGCAACGCTCACTGCTTGGTTTATAGGTCCTTAGATATAGTCTGCATGAGCTAGAGGCGTTATCCAGCCGAAAAATGAGACGCAGTCGAATACTGAGGGTAAGACGAGGGAAAGAAGAAAACTCCCTTAGCTCCCCTTCGTCTGCTGGCGCTGTGGGCTTGCACACTGGTCCGTCTTGGCGGGATTACAGGCATGTGTCAACCGCCACAAGCTAAGCTCTGGTTAGGTACGTAGAGCGACGAACTGCTGCATGAACTAGAGGTCATACTGGCTTGCAAGAATCAACATCTTATGCGTCACTTGCACAAGTTTGGAGGCTTGGGTAAACGATCAACTCTGGTTTTCTACTGCATAAAATACACGTCGGTCATCAGGCAGTATTCTGTCCTGCCTAAAATAAAAAGTCCTGCAGCGCTCTCAACTTAACCGGGACAGAGAGTTGATTCGAAATGAAGAAATATGTTTGCTTTTGTTAATCTGAGGACTTAAACCAACTAGATATTGAAGCCACATGTTAAATTTTATATCAGTGAAAATGCAGATATTATTAATTCGATTTGTTCATTAACATACCTGAAAAAAAAAAACTCAAAATCAAGAGTCGGCTGTTGCACACTTTTCAAGTCGGTTGGCATATCCAAAGCAATACACACACAGATCATTAAACATGCCACGGCAGTTGCCAAACTAGCGCCCACCGCTATCCCCCAGAATTCTTTGGGCGTGCCGAGCCAGGAGCAAGGAAGAAGAACTGCGAAGCAGATAACAAGCCATATCCGCAACTCGTCTGTTTTACTCGCGTAGTCAACGGGCAGTTCAATGAGATTTGACAAGTTTCCAGCGGCCAGGATCATAAATACCACGGCGACACCTTGAGGGAGAGAGAGAAAATCTCTCATAAATGATACTACTGTATAGGAGTGGGTATCCTGTGCATTTCTAAGATTTAAGCGACGGGTTGAATATAGTCTGGTCTCTGAGTAGCCTGTGTACACCGCCCCCTAAAAGCACGTCGACAGAAAATGCAATAGGCAAAGGGAAAATGTCAGAACCTGATTTGCTATCACATGACTTGTGTGCACTATGAACTTTACATGAGCATTGTAACCTTTGAGGGAAGAATCGAAGTGCATGTGCATTCAGTGAGCAAGCGGAATTCAACTATTTTTAATTTTCCATTAACTCCATCTTCTTTCGCCGAGCACGAGACACGCGAGAGGAGGGAAAGCGATCCCGGCGAATTTTGGTTGTGCCATTGTTCCTTCTAACTAAAATTTAAAATCGCTGATTGGTATTGGTATGAATAACGATATTGGAATTCCCAATATGGTCTCCTGACACTCGTGAGTTCGCGCTGAGAAGTAACTTGTTTACGGGTCTTACCAAGTTCGAAATACGTTACGTGCTTTTGTTACGTAACTGTTGATTGTATGAATCTATAAAGATAAAAACGACATGGTTATTAACTTAATAAAAGAAAAGAAAATATTTAAAATATCTTGTTCACTGTTCGCAGTTTCTTTTTTGGCAGTATGATTTTTAGTTGTATGTTTATGTTTTGTTTAAATATCTGGCACACGGTATTACCGAGAGCATTAATGAGTATAAAGCCAGAGCGGAACAAATAGAAGACTACAGGAAGCAGAGAACTGACGAGTGATAAAAGTAATGATGTTGCGTTTTAGTCAGATGAGTATGTAGGAAACTTGTAAATAATTAAACTTCATGCGCTTATAAATTTTTGACACTTCACTGGAAGTGAGAAAATTCTGAGCCTCCGGGTTTAATAGCACACAGTGTAGTAGATTCAACACGTCACGTAACTAATTTTAAACTGATCAGAGTAGTCTAGATCGCTGGAAGGTTTCCTACAATTTTCCAACAATCTTTCAGCGATCTGAAACCCAAATCCACTTTGTGTGTTTACTAATCGCTTGTGATTTTGCAATGCCCACCGATAGTTACGATCTGATCTGTAATTGTGAGGAATGGTTTATGGTTTCGCAACAGTTGTCGCAAGAAAGGTTGTTCTGAATGTTGTTTTCTTGTTCACAGACCTGCGGTTCGAGACATGTGGGTATATCTTAAAGTCAGAATTGTGTTAAAAATGTCTTACCTATCAGCGTGAGGTTAATGGAAACGGTTACAGCCAAGGAAGCCCATCTTCCATAAGCCTTCTCTCCGATAGCTGGGTAAGGATTCCGTACATGACTTTTATACTCATCATGTCTTTCCCGAAGAATCACCCAGGATCTTCCAAGGATCGTGCCACAATAACCAGACGCAAGCCAACAAAGAACAAGCAAACCGAATCCCGTCCAACCCGCTCCTACGATGGCAGCCGGTAGGGCTAAGACTCCGCTGCCGGCAACTTGTGCAACAATGAACACAGCGGCAGTAAATACAGTTAATCCGTTTTGGAGCTTTGCATTTGCTCTCGTTATAACTTCATAGTCATAGACTTTGGTTCTGGCTTTGTCTAGATATTCAACATGTTTTATCAGAGTTTCTTCTTCACCACTGTATGGCGGCATGACGAACTGGCTCAGGCTTTGGTTTGGTTCTGTAGATTTGACTGGAATTCTAACCTGTCTCCACAAGTGTCCTGCCATAAATAGCAGTGTTAATGGCGTGTGCTTACCAGTCCCCTGGGGCTGCACTACCTTATTTGGCCCAGATCATAAGTAGGTGACGGTTTTTTCATTTTATTTTTCATTTATCATTATTTTTTTAACTTGCACTGTAGATTGGTAGGATGTGTGCGTCCAAATTAAAAATCAGCATTGGAAAGCTAAACCTCAAACCGATGTCAGTTTTTCACAAATTTGATTTGTTCTAGTCTTTTGTGAGTCAAAGCGTTAAAAAATCGTGTCGGGGTTTTGCCATTTTCGATTGCGATAAAAAGTTGCAATAAACAATTTGAAAACAAACCTATTAAGAAGATGAATGATCTCAAAAATGCCTCTCAACAGGAAAAGTTCGAGAAACCAAAAAGTCCCCTGTCCCCGACAGTGACAAAATTTGTTGTTTTCACGTTTTAAAAACTAACATCCCTCAAAATTCTAGGTCATTTGAACCAATTCGCTTTGAAATTTCGCTCTTGATAGCTAATTCAGACGCTCGCTTTAAAAAAATCATGAAAAAAATCGACAATGCAAGTTTTTTTTTTTGAAATCTTGGTTTATAGTCCAAAAAGCTTTAATTTGAGTGTAGAGTTCAAGTTTGTTACGGTATCCGAAGTTTATGAACCGGAACGTGATACTTCCAGTTTGCATGTATTAAAGACACCCCATAAAAAAACCGACGGTGCAAGTTTTTTTTTTAAAATCTTGGTTTATAGTCCAAAAAGCTTTAATTTGAGTGTGGAGTTCAGGTTTGTTACGGTATCCGAAGTTTAAGAACCGGAACGTGATACTTCCAGTTTGTATGTATTAAAGACACCCCATAAAAGAAACCGACAGTGCAAGTTTTTTTTTTTAAATCTTGGTTTATAGTCCAAAAAGCTTTAATTTGAGTGTAGAGTTCAGGTTTGTTAGGGACTGTGCAATAATTATCAGGAGGGGGGGGGGCTGAAAAACTAGAGGGGGGCATTACATAAAATTGCTGCCAAGATAGGGGAGGGGGGGCTCAAAGTAAAATCACTCATTTTACGGAGGGGGGGTGCTTAAGTTTTATTCGAAATGTAAATAAAATTAAACGCAATAAAAGATTCTCAATACAGGCATCATGATAGACTGTAACAATTATCAACACGAACAGCTGTTAAACGATTATTGAAAATATTCCATCAAAATGAAAAGCAAATTCACAACTGATCAATTTTAACCCGTCTTCTAATTAATTGAGCTGATCCTATGTAAAGCAAAAATCATGAACTTGTTTTTCAGCTTCCCCCATCCCCATAAAACAATGGGAATCAAACAGATCTCGTAGACAAGCTTTGTCGGTTTTTGATGTGAATAAAAGTAATATTTCTTCATCGACTGAATCGATTTGCTGAATTCCATATATATGTGGCTCATAACAAAGTTGACCAGGCTCTCCTCCCAAGGATCTAAATATAATTCAAGCTCTTTTTCGTCTGTTATTTGAAGCGTTCAATCTCCTCTTCTTTGATTTTTTTCTCTGCTCCTTTCTCTTTCTGGCTTCAGAAGTTTTAGATTTTGAGCCAATGTGGGAAGCGCCCGGGTAATTAGCAAATGCTTTGTCTAAATCTTCAATCAAGCAATCAACGTCCTTCTCGATACTAGATGTTACATAATAACGTTTGTCATTATTGAAGCTGTGATGGCAGCTCAGTCCAGTTTTGAGTTTACCAGTGTGGTGGGAGGGGGGGTGTGACGTTATTTTTAACATAACAGAGGGGGGTTAGATCTAATTTTTTTGGTTTTGGAGGGGGGGGGACTGTCTAAGTTTTTGCTAGATAACTCTAGTTTTTCAGCCCACCCCCACCCCCCTCCTGATAATTATTGCACAGTCCCTTACGGTATCCGAAGTTTATAAAGAACCGGAACGCGATACTTTCGGTTTGCATGTTGAAAGACACCCCATAAAAAAACCGACAGTACAAGTTTTTTTTAAAAATCCTGGTTTATAGTCCAAAAAGCTTTAATTTGAGTGTAGAGTTCAGGCTTGTTACGGTATCCCAAGTTTATGAACCAGAACGTGATACTTCCGGTTTGCATGTGAGACACTCCTGAAGGAAGTTGGTGAAGTATTCACGTTGTTGTTTACAAAAGATGGAAAAAGTTATGTTTTAATTTTCGTAAACGAACTATAAGCCAAAAGTTCTTGACACACCGTACCGTAGCCTGCGTAGCAAGCGTTTAAGTGCGGTTCCGGAGCAAAGAACAACGAACGAGAGTCAAAGACCACGCGAAAAATGACGCGAGTAAGAGAGCGGTGACGGGATGAGGAAGAAAGGCTTCCTTCCTTCCCCTTCCCCTCCCAGCCTCTTTCCTTTTTTTGGCTCTTGTTCCATTTCTTGCACGGCCCAAACCGAAAATCCCTTTCCACGGTCTTTCTTTGCTACGAAACCAAACGGAAACGCTTTGCTACGCTGGCTAACCGTACTGAACCCATGCATGCATTACATCACGATTTGTGTTAATACCCCAAATCCCCGTGTTTTCAAGGCAATTTCTTGCGGTATGAAATGCTTCTAAGGTGCAATCACAGGTAGCCCAAGCTCAAAACATGAATATCGACATGAAAATTTCATTGGCCTGGGTACAGCCGCTCCCTACCCAAACTGAATCGGGAAGGTCTTTTTCTATCATAGCCCGAGGGGAGGCGGCGGTTGTACTGACACAAGCTAACATTTCATGGGTTTTATTGAAACCGGTTTGTTAATTAGAATTATAGAGAGCTGAGCAAACCCGGTCAGTTTCAATGGTTCCATGTTGTAAATCGGCCCCGGGAAATCGGCTCAGGAACCACACGGGAAAGAAAAAAGACAGAACATTTTGTAAGGTCATAGTATATGTACGAGTGTCTACGTATTAGAATTTAAACTACATTGAATGTTTAGAAGACAACACGTGAAAGACACTCGCAGTAATTTAGTCAACTCAAAGTTGCGAAACGCAGGCCTGAGGAAAAACATTGACGGACTTTAATGGGATTAGACTACGAGCAGTCTCTCTTTTTTCTTGGTCCGCCTGAGCAAAACGCCCGAGACACGCAAATGACCACGCGCGTGACTGAAAGGCTGCCGCCCTGGTTTCTCGCGTCTCGCGGTTTCGCCGCTCAACACTCGCGCGGGCGTGCACTCTCTTTACCAAATCTGAAGAAAAAGAGATACTGCTCGCAGTCTATAATGGGATTCAAACTCGTAACACCGGCGAGATGATCATGGGTTCGAATCCCGTTTTTAGGCTTGTCTTTCACAACTCTTCATTAAATTAAAGAGGATTAAGGACCGAAGCATTACGATCTGGAGTCAAAAGCCGTGGGATTGCATGGGATCGGCAGTTATACATTAATATAATATCATGCGTACATAATGTAGGAACTTACCTTACTTTTTAGTCTGGAGGAAAATAGCGCCTCTTTGGCAGCACATTTGTTTCAGTAGCCCTGTTTCAAAGTTAACATTTGAAATAGCCATTGAGCATAAAAATGTGCAATCTATATCATGTCTATGGGTATGCATGCGTTTGTCCGGCCAGTCGTGCGAAACGGGATTTCGTAAAAACGACAAGGCCAGTTATCTACTTGTGTCAAATCGCTATTTAAAGGATCGAGCTAAGTCAAGACCCTGAACTAAACATATTGGACTGAAAGTAAACCTCAGTGAAATAATGGTTCACTTCTACTTAAAATCATTACTCCTAGCCTTAAATACATGTGTATGACTTTGACTTTTTCGTCGATGGCTAGGATAGAAACGGATTTCAACTTAATTGAAAAAATTGGGCCATCTTTTTTCAAGCGGATGAACTCCTTTGTTGTCAAAAAATGACTAGAAAACGCTCATGCTTTGTTTTCGTTAAGATACAATTCATAGGACGTTGCATCCTTGACAGCACAACGGGAACAGTTTCCGTCAATTGCCAATCATGCAACTTCTGTTAGGGACGTGTCGAAATCACCCATCACTGCCTCCTAGGTCCTTTTCTTTCTCTTTTCCCACTTATCTTTCCCTTCAAGATGATCTTTCCCAAGCCCTCAGTTCTTTTCAAATGGCCAAATACTTCTGCTTTTGTTTCTTTATAAAGATCTCTACCATTAATATTCCATTTTCACTGTTCCTCCCTAATTGACTTATTTGTTCTGTGCTCCGTCCATGATATTTTTTAACTGAATTTCCTGTAGCAATTAATTTCAAAAGCGTTCAAAAAAATTCTTTTCAATTGTTAATTTTTCAAGTGTCCACGTCTCGCAGCAGCCATAGGTAGCTGTGGAGAAAACGCATGTTCTAAGCACTTCTTAGTTTTGTTTGAGGATCTTGACCTTTCCACAAGAATTTCAACTTTGACAACCTTTTCGTTGTCATAGCAAGCCTCTAATCATGCCTTATTTCCCAGGCTTATTTCCTCCGACCCATTTCCATCTCCAGATCAGTGTCGGATCCGCGGCATATTTGGGAACCCATTCCATGATTTTCCTCAAGATAGAATCATTTGTCATGTATCTTAATTCCCATTACGGTTCTGCAAGTATCAAAAGAGGTGACTGAGAATACTTAGTTATGATTTTAGGCCATCTTTGACCAAAAAATTGGAGCAGGAGCTCACCATTACCAAAAGAAAATGTTTTTTTCTTTCTCTTGCCCGCTTAACAAACATTCAATTGTGGAACATCTTCATGGTCTACGCTGATATGTGTATCCTAGGCAAACATCCTTGGTGCAGGTCATTATTAAGAAAATTGTCTATAGTAAATATTAATAAACAAAATTGGTCCAAGTATATCCTGCGTTGCAGACACTCCAAAACCTTCTGTACTGTAAAGAACTATACAACTGGTTTGACGATTCGTGGGCCGGCTGCAACGGGGTTATTCCAAGTAAAGACTGAAAACTCAGGTACCATTTACGTGGCATCTAGTTAATACACCAAAAACAGGAAAAAAACTCAATACCCCCCTAAATTCATAAAATCAAGGTACCCCCCAAAAAGATACTTGCCCAAGTTTTCTCATCAAAAATAAATCCCCCAAATCGTGACTTTTAAATCCAGCACCTTTCGTCACCATAAATCCTTTGAACTCCCTCGATCCACTCTCCCTTTCCTACCCAACTGTTTTGGTCAAGGCCTTTCTACAGAGTCAGGTTATGGGCTCCTGACAGCGTGTAGTTTTACAGTTGTTATTTGCCATCTAAATCCCCTGGGTTTGATTAATCAATAATAGGATACTGAAAGCTACAACCAGTTGCAAAAGTACAACCAGTTGCAAAAGTCCCCATTTTTCCTCAGGGATAGTAGAGCATGAAAAATCACACCTCTCCCCGCCGCACTTTCTCGCGTACCTATCCCTGAGGAAAATGGGGACTACTGTTTTTGACATAAATGGCCTGTCCACGATCTTGTGCTTGTGGTCCCCCCTCCACCCCTTATCAAAGTTGCGAACAATACAAGACCATAAACTTGGAGGAACAACTTTGAATGGGAGGGAGGAGGGAGGTCAGTATTATATTTCACAGACCTGTGACTAGGAGCGATTTGAAGCAAGAAAGAAAGGTCGTTTTTTCGTGGGAGTATCTCAACATTTTTGAAACTGGTTGTAACTTCTCTATATGTCGGGATTAACCTCATTTGAACGTACATTATACTTTTAGTCGTCCAGTTGAGAGCAGGGTCCATAAAAAATAACACGCAAAAGGCACTTTTTAAAGTTTATCAATTGATAAAACGTGTCGCAATTTTTGGCAAACCAATAATAAAAGTCGTCTTGCTTGGCGTATGAAAAATAATGTATCTCATTTATTCACCAGGCTCAAAATTCACCATCACATCTCTATCAAAATTGCACATACTAAGCACATAATTATCGAAATTCTACGCCTACTAGTAGTTTGTAGGATGTTTGTCGCTTCACCCTAACACTATACCATTTGATTAGCATTCCCATATACAGAAATGGTATTGCTTTTAAACTATTACAAGTATAAATTTAATTATATTTAAAATGAACCAAATAAACAGATAGTCTTTAATTAAAAGTTATACTGATTAGAAATCTCTATTTCCCATGCTATTGTTTCATGGAATAAAATTTATTTTCTAAGTTGAAACGCTTCATAAACATAGAAGCCAAGTTCTTTTTACAGACATATAGATCAATGTTGTTAAAAAGAAATTTGACTTTTTCTAATGTGTTCAAGTCTACGAATTTGGAGTACTTGGCTTCTACGTCTTGAAAAAAGTGTTGTCTTAAATTTTTTATAAATTGAATATCGGTCGTTTCGCCCAGAAGTTGCTTCGCCTACACTGAGGTCGATTCGCCTCGTTAACACTGACATGATCTTAACTGCTTCATAGGCGTTTTTCCAAGTGACAACTTCGAGAAGTCAATAGCTTAAAATCAAAAATAAGTTTAAACATGCGAGAGTCATCGGTAAGCTTGGCTCCTATTTATACAATACTATTACTGATATAAACTTAGTGTCACTGAGACAACTTTAATAGATTCTGTGGGCGAATCGACGACCTCAGTGTTGGCGAAACGACCGGTTTCCGTTCAACTCCGCCTTTTGGGAGTACAGTCGCCTCTCTCTGAACGGACACCTCCCCAAAACGGACACCTAGATTTGGTTCCTGCCTTTCTTTACTCCCTTTATTTGACTCTCTATAAGACGGACATCTCTCTAAGACGGACACTTACTGCCGGTCCCAAAGGTGTCCGTCTCAGAGGGAGTTGACTGTACTCAGTTTCATTGTCGTCCGAGCCGTCTCAGTCGCCCTGTCAGAGCGTGTGTCAAAGACTAAAAAATCATCTTTCTCATGTATTCACCAGGCTCAAAAGAGAAATGAAGGGCTAAAAGTATCTCCGAAACTGATCAGGGTTTAAATGGCTTACTTATCTAAAATACTTTTCTGATGTCATTTATCGCCGAGTAGGTTGACGCAACACCACCAAAAATCCCCACCGCAATGAGTTCATACAGGAAAGCTTTGATATGCAGTGGAATGTTGCGTTCAATTCGTAAGTAAAACAGACAAGGAAATACAAATGTTAAGGCTGTAACTGTGGAGCCTCCAATGAGAGATAAGATGGGACCAAACTTGGGAATCAGTTCGCCAAAACCGAGGATGAAACACATAAGGAATGTGCGAAGGAGGCATCGCTTGAAGCAGAACTCTGTAGGGATGAAAGAAAAAAAAGTAATTAAATGCATTCGAACATGAGTTGCGAGGCCGTCTCATGGCCTCAGACTCTCTGTTAAACGTTTTTGTAGTTTTTTCCTTAATGACTGGTCCCTCGGGAAAATTAGCTAGTTTTGTTTCCCTCTCGAATGTAAAAGAGCTAAATATAAGAATTGAACTAGCTTTAGTTTTGGTAGATTACTTTTTTAAATGACGAACTGATCTGGGTTAGGGAAAACCAGAAACTGTACTCTACAATGTTTTAGTTCTTCTTTACCACTATGGCCTCAAGAGAGCTGGTCATGGCAACGTTTCCTCCGATCACCGATTTTCCAACATAAAACAGACAACCACCGCAAAGAACAGACAGCTAACCTTCTAAAAAAGGGGGAAGGAAAAAAAGAAGTGGGAATGATTTCCAATATGAGACATATTTTCAAGTGTCTCGCAAAAAGGACAAGATGCGGGTTAGCTTTGGAAAGGAGAGAGAGAAGCAAAAAGGAGAGACAGAGGTGAGAGGAGACAAACTTTCTGCCCCGCGCTCTCCGTTTCGTCCTTTAAAATTTCCCCTATCCCTAAAAGGGACGTTACACGAGACGATTCTTGACGACGATTTTTAGCGCAACACAGTGTTACAACATTGTTTCGAAGTTTTGCAGCATTGTCCAACATTGCAAAGCTGTGCTGCGCTAAAAATCGTTGTTGCGAATCATCCCGTCTAACATCACCCTAACATATAAAAAGAGTCTCAAACCCGAGCGTCGTTCACACGCGAGGGAAACAATTTTCGATTGTCTCGCTGATTCTACTGTCTCTAAGAAAAATGAGAGACTTCTCTTGGTCTCATATGCTTTACTTACTCTGTGGTATACTCAGGAGTTCTTCAAACTGCTGCGATACCGGGTTGAGCACAATTACGAAGCTAAACAGTAGGTGTACTGTTATTAATGCTAGTACGATATCCAGAGTGATAGACGATGTGTTGTGGTCGTTGTGCCCGACACTATCGAGAATATTAGGGCTTATATCCTTGCCATATGCTAGAAAGCCAAGCACTGACACAGGTAAATACATGGAGATCACGCCGATGTATGCCCAGAAGACCGACAGTGGAAACCTGGATGCTTTTCTCATGTCCGTTTGAATCGTCGGAAAAGTCGACGCACCACCAAACGAGAATAGGATCGTTCCAAATGCTAGAAGAATAACAGAGCATGAAAAATATGTTAGAATGTATAATACATGAACTAAGAGTGGATGGAACCATAAGGTACAGCAGCCAATCAGCAACTCCACTGCCTCTGAGGAAAGCTCGGTCCCTAGGAGCAAAAACGATCAGGGGGCAAAACCAATATAGTTATGATCATGGCTCTATAAATTTACCAAAGGAGCAAGGACTTTCCCTAAAACGGCAAAATGCTTGATAAAGTCCAGTGGTTATGAAGATTTCTTGGTTACATAAATTCTTCAAACGCAAAGGTGTTATCGTCGATAAACACAGAACTACACCTCGAGAGATGAGATTTATAGCAGTGATTGACTAAATGGTTGAATGGCGCCGCCGTATCCTTAATTTATATTATTTCGTTTGGCATTTGCCCAATAAACCAATTCGTGTACAGTAATTGCGGTGTTTTATTTTCATTTTCTCTACGTGTACTGTTTGTGATTTGTCAGCTTTTATTAGCGCTTTAGAATATGTGTCATATAGTTTTAGCGCTATATAAATCCAGCCGGATTTCAGAAAACGTTACCGTTACTAAAGCAGACATTATTAAAAACTAAGAGGGCAACCATTGCTTTTTTCTCATCGCTGTTTCTTTTTCTCCTTTCTTTTTCGTTCGTTAGAGTGATTTTGGAGCTTCTTGGGCTAGTAAGCTAAGAAACTTGCCTTTTGACGACTTTTCACTCAAATAAATGCAAATTTCGTTAGGTTGGTTTTCAAAAAATCGACCAGAAATATATTATTATTATTATTATTATTATTATTATTATTATTATTATTATTATTATTATTATTATTATTATTTTCGGTTGATTCAGGTTGTCTTTGCACGCGCAATTTTATTAAGTTCGCGCGCTTTCAGCTTTATTTACTCATTTATTGACGTGTGTATTTAATTCGTTATTCAACGTATTGCATTTACTTAATGTTGTTTTCCTTACTCATATGACCATATGTACTGCTTGTCAGTAACTGTGTTCACATTTTGGGCGACTCCTCCTAAAATGTTCAGCAATTGGTGTAGGATTTAATGAAGCCGAAAGCGCCGCCGAAATCGCTTTCTTGCGTTAGAAGCTCGAGCGGCAATTACGGCTGACGTTTGGTACCTTTGTGTCGTCAATTTCGTTGTGTTGAATTGTGAGGAAGAAAATTTGTTTACCGCAACAGTGACTGATTGTAATCATCCATCCTCCTTTCTCTACGGTAAGGGATCCTAAACCGAGTTTCTACTCATTAGAAAAGAAGCTAAAAGGTAAGGTTTTAATGTGGTATAACAAAGTGTGGGTACAACACTAAAAAAAAAAGAAGCTCCCACTGTAATGTTCGACGTTTTTATTGCCTCAGTATTCAGTTCAATCAGAAACTCATAAGGAGTTTCTGGTTCAATATAACTGACTAAAAATGAACGTCATCAATGAGAATGAAGCCTTAGAAAGGACAAACGGACTTCTAAACTCCATGATTTTGAATGATTTGGAAGTAAAAAGTGGACTTGCAAGACAATGTTTAATAACATTTTTTCGTTCAGCGTTTACTTCGCGAGTTTATGGAGTCGCGTTTTGAGCGAGTGTAAACTGACGGTTTGCATATGAGCCTCTCATTTACAGCTGTTAAAAGACTTAACCATTGTTCAATCTATTTAGTATTGGTATTTGATTTGCTACGAAGCAAAAACATAGGCTAGTATGCTTTCATGTAGTTCAAAAGAACGATGTTTCGTTCGTTGAAAATGCCTCGCGTAGACAATATTTTGTTGATAAGCCTCTCTCTCATGGCTTCCGTTTATGGTTAATTTCCAGAAAGGATAGAATCGGATTAAACCTTTATTAACTAAACAACTTTTAAACTAGCTTAAGCTTTGGTGTAAATGGAGCTCAAATACGTATTAGGTTATTTTCTTTGACGCCAGGACATTCTTAATTGATTTTGCCTTCGAGTTCCTGGTCCAAACAGGTTTTAGGACAGAACACTGAACACATCCCGCTATCTTAACGGTTTAAGCTCTATACTTTTCTTGCCTTCTTTTCCTTTAGTTAGTCTGGTGTTAAAAAGACTTCAGGGCATGCTCACAGACTGGTCTTGGCAGCGTACCTTTGACGTGCTGATAACGCTTTTTACGATTGATTTTTGTTCTATGGCTGTTTATCTTGTCGTTAGACACGTTTCAAAGATACTTCGAAGAAGGAGGTAGGACAAAGAAATTTAGAAACTTTGAATACAGATTGCATGAATGAGAAAAACGTCTTTCATAGAGAAAAAGCGCGTCTGCCTTGTTGTATGAAATGAGCAAACCGTTTCCAAGTCTTAGGCCCTGTCCACACTTATCCCGATATTTTTGAAAACGGACATTTTTTTTCTCCGTTTTAGCCTTCCGTGCGCAGACGGCGTTTTCGGGCACAAAAAATGTAGGTTTTCAAAAACGGTCCCTAGAGTGAAGTTTTTTTGAAAATGCCGGCTTGGAGGGATCGACTGGACGGACGAAAACGTAGGCTATTGTATTTCCATCTTTTTACCGTTTTGGTATGGACGGGCGAAAACAATTCAAACAACCTACGAGTAAACGCGTACGTTTTTTTCGAACCATTTCAGTTCAAACTATCCGGATGCGTGTGGTGGCGACGTAGGAGTACTGTATAGCCGATCGGTTTCTTACTTTAATAAAGATTTTTGACATCAAACCAGAGTTGCCTCCAGCACTCTCTTCGTAGCTGTTTTCAAATTTGGCAGTAGTTAATTTTCAAATTCAGTGTGTTGCTTCTGCTCTGCTACAGGGTTTAACGACCCAATGCATGCTAACGCAGGCTTAAAATGAGGGGGTTGTACCGTATTTCTCGGCGTTAAAAGATAAGGTATATAAAGTTATTTTTGATTTAGTTATTTTTTTAGCTCTGTTCCACTTATTTAAGAACCCTCCTCATGATAAATATTGCGCAGTTCATTAAACCCCCCTGGGCCGGGTTGTTCAAAGCAGGGTTAAGTTAACCCAGGGTTAGTGCGAAATTTGATTTCAGAAATGAAAGCTTGAGAAGCAAATTCAGCATGTGTTCAGTTTCATTCTTTTTGCCTACAATTTGATGATGGGATGCTCCAAAAAGAAGAGAGAAAATTATCCGGGAAAATGCTTTTGGACAACAGAAAAAGAAACCTGGGTTAAAATTTAACCGTGGGTTAGCGCTAATCGGCCTTCGAACAACTGGGCCGCTGATCTTTACCATGTTGCTTTTAGACTTAGCAGTCGAATCAAGTGATACCAGAACCTCAATAAATAATTATGAACAAACTGCGGAGGTTTTAATAGACCCTCCTACGGTCTTTTGAACTTTTCACATGGACCAGTCAGGGAAAATCCGTCGACACCACTGAAAAAAGCACCTCAAAATTAGTAACATTGCCAAATTTGAAAGTGATACGTCTTAAGCGAGTGAAAATATCGCTCCTCAAAGTTGCGAAAATTTTCAAACGTTTGTACCCACCATACACAAACTTTTGTAAAATTTCGCGAATTCAGAGGCTATATCTTTGTTAGTTTTCAACAGATCACTTCAAAACTCGGCAGTTTTACTAATTGAAAGGCGCTCTTTCTAGCGGAGTTGGCGGAATTACGGCCTACCTTGTCCATTTCAAACTGAGTTAAAATAAGCGTGGAAAGGTCTGTTGTGGAGAGACAAAGCGCCTGGTTTATAGTTTCCCTGCTCAACAATCAGAGGTGTGTTAGCAGTCTAGTCTAAAAATTCAGTCAAATCTGTCTTTTATGGAAAGAAAAGCACTCTGTGAGTAAGCGAAATCAAATCATGTATTCCGTTTTTCTGTTCTCTTTGAATACAGATTTCAGCGTGAGATTGAACTAGAGGAAGAACTGGAGAGGTTACGTAAACAATCAAGGCAATGCCGCACAAACTCGAATAAAAAAAGTCGTAAAAAGAAAACAGATTTGTAGAACATTATTTGCGTAAAGTCGTTTTTTTCGCAGCAGGAAACTGAAAATTGGAAAGGTTGTGCTTTCTTGCTTTGGTTAGCCCGTGCGCTGATATAATCTCATTTTTTAACCGTATGATTATCAAGTTCTTGTAGTACTCCAATGAATAGCGTCAACACTTTTAAAATTTTTCATGAAAAGTGAAGAGACTAGTAATCGAAAATTGTCAATGTTGCGGATAATAAAATTGTTCTGTACCCATAATGATAAGGGAAAATTATTAATATGAATGATGAAGAGCATGAAAAGCACTTTTTAAAGAAGACTGCAAAGGAAAAAACGGTGCAAACATTACTCCAGCATGTTTTATAGCCTCATATTAAGCCAATGGAACAAAGCTTTCCGCGCCTTAATTAATAGCCTTCTTACTTTGTTGAACCAGCTTGGCAAGGGATAATTTTGATATAAAGTTGATTCGAAATGATCATGAAAGACATAAGTTTGGTTATTGCATTGTAATTGTAAATTGTACCTTAGGCCAAGTTCAAACGTCGGTCTTTTCGTGTAAAATTGATTGCATGAAGAGATCGAATTCGAATCAATAAAGTCCGACATATCTAATTTGGGTAGACTCATGAATTACGATCGAGTGGCCCACATGGGAATTTCGACTGTGAAGCGACTTCTTTTCAAACATCAAACTTCTCGTGTGCCAAACCTAATGCATACCGTAAAATTCCGAAAACAAGCCCCTCCATGTATAAGCCCCTCCAAATATAAGCCCCCCAAACCGGTAACGCAAAAACCCTCCTTTAAATCGCCCCTCCAAATATAAGCGCCTGGGGGCTTGTACTTGGTTAATTGCCCTCAAATACAAAGAAAAACAAAGCAAAAAAGATAAATTTACTTCCATCTGTAAGGCTAGCCCAATTGATTTTGAAACGTGCAAATTTCCCTCCGTAGATAAGCCCCTCCAAAAACAGTACAGGGGGGTGGAACTGAATCAGAGCACCCGGAGAAAAACCTTCCGGTACAAAGACGAGAACCGACAACAAACTTAACCCACATATGGCGTCGACACTAAGATTTGAACCCAGACCACATTGGTGGCAGGCGAGTGCTCATATACAACACTGCGCCACCCCTTCTTCCCTCTATGTTAAGCTGTCGACTTGAATACAACTTACAAACAAAATGCAAAATTAAGGTATAAAAAAACCACAGCAAAGACCGTGTACGATCAGTCTTGCTCAACGTCGGATCCAAAAAGATCGTGATCAGTCAAGAGTGGAGGGGGACAGGGGGGCGGGAGCCCGGGAGAACAGGGGGCGGGAGGGGTACGGGAGACGGGAGAGGAAAGGGCGGGAAGCGGGATCTCTATGATGGCGGGAAGGGGGAGAGAAATTCCAAAAGGCAAGCTTTCGTTAATTGTTACTGCTCATCATCCGGTCAAAGAAACGAACCCAACAAAGTTTCTTGACTTCCATTTAACGTTCTCCAAGGCCCTAAATCAAAATTTTAATACAAGAAAAGTCAAAAAACGTAAATTCGCACTCAGGATAGAAAAAAGAGCAATACTTCCGGTGAAATTGGAAACCTTTCCAAGTCGGTTACATCACAGGTCACGAGTCCTCATGAATGAGGTGGCGTGACACATGTAAACGTGTGTCGGCTGTGTAAGTCGAGTGTCTCGTCTGTTTGACCTGTCTCGCAGGTAAAATGTCGTCAAAGACCATTTTAATCGGTCTAAGTATTTTTCGGTGTGGTGTGGAAAAATCCGTACATGGAAGACCTTCCTGGGAGCTCGCTCTGTACGATTGTAGTTTGCAAAACACTAAAGATTTTACGGCGTGATGCAAACTTGTGTCCAGGGAATGCAAATTCAATGATCGCGCTGGAGAGTGCTGAGTGGTTAGATATACAACGCAATTTTTTGTTTTGGATAAGGCCAAAGCACTCCCTATTAGAATAGGAAGTCAAACAGCGTGGGACGCTGTCCGGTTGGACTTCATAGACAACAAAGAAAAACGTTTGGCCCTTCGACTTCATTTTGGCATGATCCCCGTAATTTCGGGATTCCTAAATGCATGTTAATGCATCTTTGATAACTGCAATAGCTATTACACTGCACAGTGGACTGAGACTATTGTCGCTGTAGTGGGATGTCAGAAGCGGTGGTCAAACCTAGATAACCAGGTTAGTGAAAACTCATTTTAACTAAGAAAACTGACTTGTAACAATTTTCATCTTTGGCAAATTACCCTACAGCTTTAACACTAAACCCGGGCTTCTGATCTTTTTAATTTACATGATGACGGG